TTAATCATATTCTTTACGAAATTAATTTAATAATCATCATCACAATTACAGTTGCCATCACAAAAATTTCACGAAAACCAGAGTCGCCCTCTCCATCTTCATTTCCTAGATACAGAGGAAAAATATAACCATCATCACAAATTCTTTACGAAAAAGCCCAACCCAATTTCATATTTAACCAAAAAAAAAAAAAAAAAAAAAAAAAAAGAAGTAAAAAGAAAAGAAAAAGGTGACGTACCACTGCAGGCGCTGACGTCAGTGGGGATGTTGCAGTGGGTGGGGACCATGAGCGCCTGAGTGATGTTGATCCCCGGCAGCGCCGCCGGATTTTTGTACAGCCCGCAGAGGCAGTGGAGCTGAGTACTCACCACCTGCCGGATGGCGTTGCAGCAATCCGCCGACGGCCTCGTCGAGTTCAGGTAGGGCACGCACGGCATCAGCTGGGCGGCGCAGTCCATCTGCGCCTCCGCCACTCCGGCGGCCGCCACCAGGACCGCCGCCGTCAGAATCACCGCGATTGTGGAGGAGAATGCCATTTTTTTTTTTCGGTTTTCGATTTTCGTTTGGTTTGCCCCTTTTTTTCAATTTTCAATTGGGCAGTTTTTTTTTGGAAGCTGTGTATTTATAATTTGCCGGTTGCGTGAGAACAGGGGAAATGAGAAAAGAAGAGGAAATTACGTGGAGAAGAGCTAGATAAAGTGTACTATTTGACTTGTCTAAATTAGAAAATTAGGTTGTACAATTTTAATTATTATTATTTTTATTTTTTGGGGGTAAATTGCATTAAACGTTAGGAAATTTTTGCTTAGACGTTAATTTTGGTTTGGATGATCGGAATTTCGAAAAGGAATTAATAGTTTAGTTTCTAAAATGTCGGCGTTTAATGCTGAAATTTCATTAATTTCTATGTTACAAAAATTCTTGCATGAGACAAGTTAATGCTAGAAAAGTCCGGAATTAAAAGTAACTTCAATTGTAAGCCATTTTGTTTCCAGAGCATTCGGTAATTCTGAATAACCCATTAATATTTACATGGTAATTTCCACATCATATGTCCTCTTATATAAATGTAGAGTCTACGTATAAGATTATCAATTTCTAGTACTTAATAATCATAAGTGACCTAACCATTTTCGCATCATATGTCCTATTGTTGGAATATCACTTGTGAGTTGAAAATGAGTCTAGTATATAAGTCTAGTGGGCTACTCCTCCCATCACCAATTGGTTTTGGGATGGAACCTCACTATGGTACTGCTAGGCTCACCCTCTTATGGTGCGCTTCATCTGGTGGGACCGCACCCTCTTCTCTCGATTTAATATGGTATCAGAGCGGGCCTGTCCTAGGACCTGCGATGACTCTCTCTACCCGGCCTGCTCTGGGCTTGGGCTTATTCCTCTACCCGGCCTGCTATGTGGGCTTGGGCTTACGAAGGACTCACAAGTGGGGGGGCGTGTTGGAATATCACTTGTGAGTTGTCCCACATTGATTCTATAGGGAAAATGAGTCTAGTATATAAGTCTAGTGGGCTACTCCTCCCATCACCAATTGGTTTTGGGATGGAACCTCACTATGGTACTACTAGGCTCACCCTCTTATCGTGCGCTTCATCTGGTGGGACCGCACCCTCTTCTCCCGATTTAATACCTATGTATTACTGTATATATATAAATGCGTAATCTATATGTGTGTTGGAGTAGTCTGTATAGACTTTGATTTATATAATTTATTTATTAGGTCTTTTAAAAATTGTAAGAAACTCTAACCAACTTAAATTATAAAATATATTTTAGAGTTTAATTTTGTCAGTTTTTCATATATGATGTATCAAATTCATCGTCTTTTTACAATATTCGATTTGATATTCAAACTGCATGTATATAAAAAAATACAAATTTTAAGAAATATTTAAAATCTTAAAATAAAAATAACTAGTTCATTTTAATACACTTTTTATACATAAATTTAGAATAAACACCCATATAATATACAAATCTTGTAATACTATTAGTTTTTTTAATAAAAATATATTTTTACTATAAGAAGTTATGTTATTGTTTAAATTATTTTTTAGCGTTAAAGGTTCATTTTGAATATATAAACGAAAAATTATGACAGTCTAGCATCAGCACATGCTTTTGTGTTGACTGAACGTATTTAATTAATTACAACGTTAATTTGCGTCTTATTTTACAACAGTAAAAGACTATTTTATCTATTTTGAAAAATAATAATGATGATATAATAAATGTGGATAAACTAGTCTTGTGAGCCCAAAGTGATTTTTTTTTTCCTCCAAATTGTGCATGCATGTCAAATTTGGCTGCGTAAAATGTAAGATATGGACACATTGTTTGTTGCATGCTGCCACAAATACACGGAATGTTCATCAGTATTGTGAACACAAGAAGCTGACTTTGACCTAGACAAATCGAGCTGACTTTGACCTAGAAAAATGGGATATATCACCTTAGATGCTTATAACATATCCATTTACAAAGTCCACAATAATAGAAGAATATAAAAAAAAATATTATTAGATATACAATATATTTCATCTTAGTGCCATGACTTAATCAAGTGATTTTCCATTATTGGTTGTTTAATCGAGTAATTTTCCAATTTCAATATGAGAGCTTGTTGAGAAAATCTGATGTGAGTTTTACTTGGGGGTTTGTGTTGTTTCTTGCCTGAGCTTTTTCCAACTTGATTCAAGAAGAAATGGAAAGGTCGTCTGTTGTCAATACCCTTACGTTTTCACCATTACTGCTGAAATGTTTATTGTAGTCAACCTGTATGGTGATTTGTGACAAAACATACAAAGTAGTACATGGTCTGATCAACTTAAGAATTGAGCCTTTGTTATCAATTATCACACACATGCTGATGAGTTTCATCTGATGATTTTTCTCTCGATTCTCGAACAACTTAAGAGCCTTTAAACCTCATCTTTTCCTGGTATTTAACACCATAATAACACATATTTTCAGAGGTTTAAACCTAAAAAACGCGGCAACTTAGTTAAATTTTCGAAACCCGACAAGGCTCCGAACAAGGCAATATATATCCCGATTCATCAATGACTTTGAAATAAATATCCGGACCCTTTTAAACATAAAAAATATAATTTTTTTGAGGCTTATCTCACTCCTAATCAAGAGTCCAACATCAATTCACAGAACTTCAAAATTCATGAATCTACTAACATAAAATAATTCTCTTTTCCATGAACTCATCTCAAATATATCTCGTGAACCTTAAGCATAAGTTAATCTTTCAAAATAAACTCTAATTATTCGAAGAATTCGGGAATAAATGGGAAGGCTCAAAAATCTGAAATCGGGTGGCTTCGGACGTTGGAGAGTCGGCCTCGGCTTCCTCTCGACACTCGCGGCTTATACATGGCTAGGGATCGAATCGGCACTCAGCTATGGGTCAGCTCTGATCACAGCGTGATTCCACTCCACAACTCGCCGCTGCTCACATTTTCCCCCTCGGCATTTGTTAAAATTAGTGTTTTTCGCCATTAATAGATAGCATTAATTAACTCGGTAACTTCAATTTTAAGATACCTTTCGTACTAAGCTACTGTGGAATTCACTAAGAGTAACCATAAAAAAGGTTCGTAACCATCGATTAACTACTTACGTTTTTTTTTTTTTTTGATAATTTTATGCAGGTATAATTGGTTTTCGGGACCAAGTAAAATCTACATTTGTGTGGGTTTTATTGTCTTAGTAACCGGTTCGTGGGCAGACATGTTCGCATTTGTTATCTTATAGTACGTAAGCATTATGTTCTTTTTGTCTTGATTTATTGTTATTTATGATTTTTCAATTAGGTGTTTGAGTTGAAAGAAATATACTTGGAAGAAGAAACTGATGATATACAGAGATAGTGGACCAAGTATTTTCTCGATATCACCTCATTGGCAAAGTAGTAGACTACATAGGCTTTTGTTTGTAATATTTGGTTTATGTTGAACTATTTGAGTTTTCTAGTATTGTTAGTTTTTAGGGAAATATTAAACTACGTTGATATTATTGATAATGAACTAATTTTAGTACATTTCTTTTATTTTTATCTATTTAGTTGTATTGATTACATTTGGTTTCAGTTAAACAGGTGTAAAAAAAAAAAGACCATTTATTTACTTTTTACATTGGTAATAAAGTACGATATAAAAAAAAATTATATCGGTAAAAATACAACACATAGAATCTTACATCTTTTATATAGGTTTAAAAACAATACATAGAATCTGATTTTCTATATCGGGTTCGAAGTCCAACCCATATAAAAAGATATTTTTTTTGTATGGGGTGATTCATTCACCTGGTATAGAAAACACATTTTCTATATCGGGCATTCTATAATCCGGTGTTTGTCCCATTTTTGTTGCATTTTTCGTACTTATTTTATCTTTCTTTTTCCCTCATTTTAGGTCTTTTCGTTGGTTTTTATTCGTTCTTATAGTTTATTGTGTGTTTATCTCCATTTTGGTTTTCTATGTGTTTTCCGTATGTTTTTTCGGTTTTTCTTCGTTTATGGTGTGTAGGTCGAAAGCTTCGGGAAGCTCGAATTTTGGGCAAAAGTCAGTTGGGCAAGCGTAATTAGATAGAGGAGTTTGTTGGGAACACACAGGAAAAAACGGAACTCAATTTCAATACCAGACGAGCCCGAACGACTCCAAAATGTGAAGTAGTGCGAGCTGTCCAGGCCCAACGCGCCCGCCGCGCCGTGGAGCGCCCATCCACCGCACCGCAAAGCACCGCCGCGCTGCGAAGCACCCATCCACCGCGCCGCGGAGCGCCCATTCACCACGCCGCGCCATTGCCACGACATGGACTGCAGCTCCCACGCATCCCAGGCCCCGCGTCGTGCCAAGCTGTCGGGCCGCGGCACACGCCCTCCTCGCGCCGTGCTCAGATTTTCCACGCCGTGTCACCTAATCCTATATATATACGTACGGGACTTCGACAGAAGAGGATTTTCTCCCCCTCCTGGGGACGAATCCTAAGCCCGTAAAAACACCACAGAACTCCTTTCTTCTCCTTTCCTTCCTCTTTTTCTTCGTTCTTTTCACTTTTCTTTTCCATTTTTCTTCTTCTTCTTCTTAGTTATCAAGGATTAAGTTTTGTACTTTGGGATTCAACACTTGGACTAAAATAAATTGTAAGTTTCTTTTCTCTTTGAAATAATTCATGAATAATGATTGATTTGGGAGAGATGATTATTGGTGTTGAATTTATTTTACGTAGCTAATTCTTATTGCTAGGGATAGGGGATGATTGTTCTTGTTTACTGTGTATTTGTCGGGCTCAAGATTGTTCATGCTTATGTGAGTTGATTTAATTCAGAATTGATGAAATTATGCTTGATAGTTTGATGTAATTGAAGGGTGACATTTCGATCTTGCAATTGGTAACAATTGGATATTGAGTTGTCGAGTTTGGTTTTGTTGATTCTCGATGATTAGTTGATTAAACACCTTCTAATTAAATTAGCGACTTTTTGAACCGAAAGGGAAGAAGC